GTTCGATCATGGAACTGCTTCCCTCTTGCTCTGCTGGCTGCTCACACTCTGACTCTGCACACCGCTAGTTAGCCCGCCAACAGCTCCCCCGCGCACCTCGAGAGCAACACATAACGCGGCCGGGCGCGGGCGCGTGCTCGTGCTTGTGCTCCTTGCGCCTCATTCACCGTTGCTCTCGTGGCAATCATGGACACTTGCACGACACAGCAAGAGGCGATCGCCATTGTGAGTTTTGCCTGCCCTGCGCCATTTCTGTGCGCATGCTGCTGCTGCCGCTGCTGCTGCTGCTGCTGCTGCTTGCGTGGCATTTGGTCGCCTGCTGACAGACACGTTGCTGATCGCTTATTGCAGGTGGGCATTGCATGCGAATTTCCCTCCGGCAGGCACTCTGACCGAAACCTGGATGCGGATGCTTATTGGAGCTTCCTGCGCGAAGGCAAGACTGCGTACGAGGATATCCCAAATGCGCGCTTCAACGCCTCAGCATGGCATGGCAAGGGACCTGGAAAGGTCATCACATCGACGGCTTGCATCATGAAGCATGCCGACATGTTCGATGCCGTCCAATTTCACGTCTCTTCCGCCGATGCCAGGGCGATGACGGTGAGCACGCGCAAGCTCATCGAGCTCAGTCACGTCGCGCTGCAGGATGCTGGCATCGAGCATCGTGCAAGACCGGTGGGCGTGTACGCCGCTGGCGTCACCTACGACATTCTCGCCAATTCTGATCACGACGAATTTGATGCTGCCGGAAGCGTTGCTGGCTACCCGAACGCTATTGCCAATCGGATCTCCTTGGCACTCGACCTGCATGGCCCCTCCATTCCCATCGACAATGCCTGCTCCAGCACACTCACCGCCCTGCATCTGGCTTTGCAAGGTTTGCGCTCTGGCGATTGCGAGAGCGCACTGGTTGCCGGCTGTCAATTCAACTCTCGGTGCGTGCCTCACTTGGCATCTGATCTCGTCTCGCGTTGAAGATGGTGCCGCTGACCCTGCTCGAGACGGCAATCTTGTGTGCCTGTGCGGCGCCTTAAGGATCGAGGAGTTCATACAGCTCACGCAAGCCCAAGTGCTATCGCCGGACGGCATGTGCAAGCCATTTGATGCAGATGCAGACGGCTTTGGCAAGTCTGATGGAGCAGCAGTCGTCTGTCTCAAGCCCTTGTCTGCAGCAATCAGGGACGGCGATCACGTCTATGCCCAAATTCTTGGAAGCGCATTGACCACCAATGGCGCTGCAGTCACAGTCAACGCCCCCTCTGCAGCTCATCAAAAGGCAGCGATAGAGCGAGCATACTTGCAAGCTGGTCGCGATCCGGCCGAGTGTGATTACGCAGAGCTACACGCGACGGGCACAGCTGTGGGCGATCCAATCGAAGCGAATGCTGTGGGAGAAGTGTTGGGAAGAAATAGGATGGGAAGACCGCTGGTGCTTGGCAGTGTCAAGGGGAATATGGGGTGAGTCGTGGGTGCTTTTCCATCCACAGAAACATCATTCGTCGTGTGCTGATTTGTGCTTCTTACTGCGCCGGCCGGGCCACGGCTACGCATCAGACATTTGGAGAACACGGCATTTCTGGCGTCGCTACTCAAGTGCATCTACATGCTAAGAGATCGCGTCATTCCACCTCAGGCCAACCTGAAGAGGTTGAACCCGCGCATCGACTGGCGGAGACATAATATGCGGCTTGCTGTGCCAAACGAGCAGCTCGAAGGCGGCGAACAGCCCCTCATTTCGCTTTCTAGCTTTGGTATTGGAGGCACAAACGGCCATGTGGTTGTGCAAGCTCATGCACAGGGCTCCCAAGACGAGAGCGAAGCGCTCGCTGACGCATCGGCAGCTCAAGACGAGATTAACTTCATGGAGGAGCCAGTCTTGCTGATATTGGGCGCCCTCTCACCCAAGGCTTTTCACAAGATCATCGCGGGGCTCAAGGAGCAGCTGAGCGAAGCGAGCGCTGCCAGCACACGAGACATGCTGCCGTGGAAGGATGTGAGCTCTCTGACGACAAGATTAGCTCGGCAAGCGCGGCAATGCACATGGAGGGCGAGCAAAGTCGTACAGCTGGCGGATCTTTGCTCAGGCGACTGGAAAGTGTCCATGCCGGAACCTGTACTGGTGCCTCGAATCCCTGCTCCTCTTGTTCTAGTCTTTTCAGGTCAGGGTCCTCAACATTGGCGCATGGGCTACGATCTATTCAGGCGATTCAGGCACTTCCGCCAAACTGCTCTCGAGCTCGACGAGGTGCATCGCTCCATGACAGGCATCTCCCTGATTCACGACGTCGGCCTTTTCGATTCGCAGCAAAGTGCCAAGGCGGAGCAGCTTGCCGCAATTGAATGGCCGGCCCGCCTAATCTTCCCTTCTCTGACCCTCTTTCAATGCGCACTCTTCGACACTCTGGTCGCCATTTTGGGCAGACAGCCCGACGTTGTGGTCGGACACTCGGCAGGAGAAGCAGCTGTGCTGTACGCCTCTGGCTCCGCGACGCGGCAGCTGGCCATGCAGGTTGCAGTGCTCAGAGGGCGCCACATGTCTGCCGCGGAAACGCTCGGCGCTGGTATGTTAGCGCTAGCTTGCGATGAGAGGACTGCTTTGGGGCTCGTCGAAGCTGTATCAGGTTCCCCCAAAGGCGAAAGCGAAAGCGTGGGACTGAGTGTCGCCGCCTACAACTCTGCCACCGCCGTAGCGCTCTCTGGGCCTCGGGTCGCGCTGGAACTTGTGGCGCAAGAGGCAGCAAAGCGAAGCATTCGAGCCAATGTCCTGCGCACAAAAGTGCCTTCTCATTCGTCCTGGATGGAAATCTGCAAAGAAGAATTCTTGGCTGAAGCTCGAGTTCTCTTTGCAAATGAAGCTGCCTGCTTCCGGCGCCCGCAGATCAAAACCTTCTCCTCCGTCACTGCCTCGCCGATGCTGGACAGCTTCAGCGTGGAATATCTGTGGCAAAATATTCGCCAGCCCGTCCAATTTCACCAGGCCATCTCCGCGATCGGTCGGATGCATCCAGGCGCAACCTTCTTCGAGATCAGCCCACATCCAGTCCTGCTTCCCTACGTTGCAGAGTCTGTAGCAGGATCTGCGACACTGGCAAGTGCGCGCCGGCCCGACAAGCAGGGCCGTTCCCTCGAGGTAAAGACGTTCATGGACTCGATCGGCAGACTTTGCACTCAGGGGCATGGCAGCCTCCGAAGCGAGCATTTGACGTGGGGCATTTCCGCCACCAGAAGCCGAGACGTATTTCCAGCCATGCCCTACCCATTCGAGCGACAAGCCTTTCCGATCTATGCTGAACACGCTTCGCAGCGTCGCAAGCTGTTCCAGAGTCAGGGTCCACTCTGCCATCCTCGCTTGCGAATGAGCAGAGCGACCCATCCGCTGTTGGCGGAACACGTAGTCCAAGGAGAGCCAATCGTTCCGGCAGCCGCCTTTCTCGAAATGGCTTTGGAGTTCGGAGCGAACACATTGTATCGATGCTCTTTTGCGTCCATGCTCAGCATCCCACGAGATCGACCCTCCACGATCGAAGTCAGCTTGGATGGGGCCAGGTGGGCTGTGAGAACTCAGCGCCCCGCATTAGGCCATCGACTAGACGCAGGATCCGAGTGGGACGCCCTGCAAGGTGGTCCGTTCAACGTCGTGCATGCACAAGGTTTCCTTTCGCGCGCGCCGCACACGTCGAGCGGAGGCGCCGTGGTAGAGAAGGTGGACCTGCAGGCTCTTCGCTCGACTCTTGATGTTGGTGATATCAAGGCGCTATATGAGCGAGGATGGAACCACACCATGAGCTACGGTCCACGCTTCAGGCGCATGCAGAAGCTTTGGGTGGGCAATGACGATGTTCTTGCGGTGATTGACGGTGCCGGGGATGAACAGGTGATGCAGGATGGCTACGTCACGAGTCCAGCTGTGGTGGATTGCGCCCTTCACCCGCTCCTGCATTTCGTCGTCGGCAAGAATGGGCTGGCCAGTCCGCCTTCTGCTTATTACCTTCCATCATCTGTCGAACGCGTATTGCTGCATCCTGCCTATTCGGAGGGTCAGAGGGACATGCGATCGGATGTGGCGAGTTGGTCGCATTTGGTGAGCTGGCGTCTGGATCACTTTATTGCGGACCTCTGCATCCTGGCTCTCGATGGTACACCTTTGATCACCTTCGAAGGGCTCAAGCTGGCGCGTCATAGCGCAGTTTCAGCAAGTCCGGAGCAAGCTCATGAAATGGTATGGATGCCACTAGCATCTGCTCCTGAGCGAACAAAGACAGAGCGAAAGGAAGAGATTGTGTTTCGCTTGCCTACATCGACTCGGGGTCTTTCGGAGGAAGAAGCTGCGATGCTGGACAACAAGGCGCGCAGCGTTGGTCGGAGGATTTTGTCGCGCAGAACGCCCGATGAGCTGGTGAGTAGGCCTGCCCTTAGAGTTGACCTGCGTGCAGCCAACAAAGACCAATCACACCATTTCGTACTCGCTAGTTTAAACTTGGTGTCCGCGCCTCTGTCTTGTTGGAGGCGACTCACACGGCCACCCTCACTCCGACGCTTGGAATCACTCAGACACTCGAAGCGAATCTCAGTAGTCGGTACTACGTACACGCAGACGCACTCGAGCTTCTAGAACACTTTGTGGATTCGCACGAAGATGGCGAGGTGAGCTCAGATCGCGCTTTGTGGTCCTGTTCTGTGGATACTAACTATGAACGTGCCCTTTCCCCAACGTGACTAGCGATCTTTCCAGACATATCTTTCTCATCCTGTCATACGGAGGCACCTCGCGGCAGAGGCCGAAGAGGCGAGCGTAGAAGATGTACAGCGCTGCCTGGAAGACCTGCTAGATCAGTTTGAGGCTGCCGGGCGGCGCTCCATCCGTATTCTAGAGATTGGCTGCAACAACGGAGAGCTGACATTGCCGTTGTGCAAATTGCTCACGAGACGTCAGCCATCCTCTGCGTCCGTCGTCGCACTGACCATTACAGACGAGTCTGCACAGCGCGCTTCTACAACCCATTCCGCAACCACCTGGGAGTATGCTGTCGCCTCGCCGTTCAACCCGTTCCAGCCAGTCTTTGAACAGCCACAGCTCGAGCCAGGGTCCTTTGACGTTGTGGTTGGCTTTGAACCTGCGGCGCTCAGCGGAGGATCAATGGAAAGCCGCTGGTTGGAGATTTCTGCGCTAAAAAACCTCCAGCTCTTGCTGGCTCCCGGAGGACATCTCGTCCTGCTGGCTCCCGATCCAGCTCGGGGGCGCACCATCAAGCCGAATGCTCCGGGTAGCGTGTTTCGGGACGTGCTTTCCGCCGTCCTTTCTTCCCAGGCTCCGTCGCGCTCCCCGGACGGCGTTTCGCCGCTGCCGCTGGCGGGTCAGGGCGTGCCAAGTTTGCTCGAAGACGTCGAAGGCTACACGAAATCCACTACGCTGGATGCGCGCACAGGAACTCCGTCTCGCAACACCCCGTATCAGTTGCATATCGCACAAAAGGCAGACATTCCCCAGCCTTTGGCACAGGTGGACTCGTACGCCTATAGTATGGGCGAGGAAATGGCGTTACGGCGCAAATTGGAATCGTCCGAAACTTCCAGGAAGTCGCCACTGTGGATTACAACCACCAACGTACTCGACTTTGGTGCAGCCGTCGGTATCGCCAGGTGCCTGCGCGCTGAACGGCCCGATATCCACCTTTCAGTGACGCAAATCCCGTCAGAGTGGACCGAGCAGGCTGGCAAGGATGCTCTGCAGCGCCTCGCTGCCAATGCAGTCAGCGGCACCGAGATTCAGCTCGATGCGGACGGAATAGCACATGTTCCGGCTCTCGTCGCTAATCCGACACCCTTACCGGGAAGACTTCGCACTGCATCGATCGCGACGAGCACTGTGCGCTCACCCGCGGTCAAACCAGTGTGGACGGACCGGCGTCTTACTCTTTTGCGCGACGACGCCCATGTTCCTGCTCACTACAGCGCGGCGTCAAGCCATGAAGACCATGTCGTCTTTGACGACTCCATTGCGAAAAGCCGCGCAGTGATCGGAATAGCGTCTGTTGCTCGCACGATGCATGCGTGGACAGGTGGATTGACACTGCCAAGTCAAAGACCCCGCGTTCTGCTACTCGACGATGGATCGCCGGAGGCTCTCGGTGCGAAGTGGGCTCTCCGGATGGCATGCGATGAAAATCAAATACACGTGTGCGCGATTCCCGCGCACGCTGACGAGGTGGCTCTAGTGTGGGAGATCAGCAGCGAAGTGGACGGTGCAACGTTCGATATGATTCTTGCTGGGTCGATGACCAGAGAGCTGAGCCAGATTGCGGAAGAGGTCCTGCTTTCGAGAGGTGCAACCATCTATCCCTGGAACGAGCGAGATGCTGGCCTCGCTTTCGACCTTTTCGCCCGCTCGCCAATGGTACACGCTACCCTCGCTGACTTTGTGGCTCGCCACGGGTGGCTACCGACAGATATTACGCCTGCTCCCTCGGGTGTCCTTGGCCACTTAGACGCTGGGCACCAGCTCTCTGGGGAAGGCCTGTTCGATGCCTCGAAAGCATACATCCTCATTGGGGGAGTCGGCGGTCTCGGTGTTGAGCTGGCCGCTTGGATGGTGAGGCAAGGGGCAAAGCACATCCTCCTCACCTCGCGCTCTGGCCACGAGTATTTCCGCTCGACGGACGACGAGAACGTCCGCGCGAGGCGCACCCTCGGTGCCATGCGCTCCGAGCAGGGCACCCGCATCGACGTCGTAGCTTCAGATGCCACGGACGAGACAGCAATGCGTTCGGCAATATCTTCAATCACCTCGGAAGGCATCACCATTGGGGGCGTCGTCGTCATGCCAGTGGTCTTGAACGATGCCCTCTTCGAGTCTCAGACCTCAGAGTCCTTTCAGAATATGTTCAACATCAAGTTGCGGCCACTTTTGAACTTGGAAAAGGTTTGCGATCTGGGAAAGGTAGATTTCGTCGCCTTTTTCTCTTCGGTTGCTGCTCTGGTTGGCAATCCGGGTCAGAGCAATTACGTTGCGTGAGTAAACCTCTTTATCTCGCAAGCGGAGTCTGAATATGAATGGGCGATAACGGGCGATCGACTAATGACCCTTGTTCACCCTGGCAGTGCCAACATGGCTGGAGAGGCTTTTGTGCGCAGGCATCGCTCGGCGTTTGCGATTGCCGTTCCAGGCATTTCGGACGTCGGAGTCCTTGCTCGTCACGTCGGAAAGAGCTCGAGACTAGCTGACTTGATTAGCTTGAGCATGACGGCTGAAGGTGAGGCGGCCCGCTGTTGCTTTCACTAGCCACAGGTAGATGCTGACACAAATCCCGTCTATTGTAGCCTTCTTTCAAAGCTTTGGCGATGCTGTCAAACGCTCCAGGAAGCGCAACGTTGATTTGTACATTCCCGACCTCGCTTGGCCAGCGACGCGCTCTGCTTTGGCCAAGTCTGGATCACGCCTACCTCTTCGGTGTCGCGCAATCATGGGTCGTGACGCGATCGCAGGCACTCTGGATCCGCATGGAAATGGGGATGGCAAGAGTAAATTCGACATTGCACCGCTGATAGCAGACGCTCTGGGTACCGACGAGGAAATAGATCCCTTGCTGCCCTTTGCGGCCTATGGTCTTGATTCCTTGGCTGCGACGCGGCTTTCTTCTGCCATCAAAGCGAACACGGGCGTCCAAGTCTCACAAATACAATTACTTGGAGGTCTTTCGATAGAGGGCCTCGTTGAGATGCTGGAAAGCTTGCAGGCTGCGAAAACTGCCGCGGCAGGAGCTCCAGACGCGGACGGGGTCGGGCATGGAGCAAGAGGAGGTGGAGTCACTACCGAAACTCGCGTCAAAGAGCTGCAAGGCGTGGGCTCGAAATATCTCAAAGCACTTGTGAAACTTCGAGATGGGGAAGGATCTCCAATCGTCCTCCTCCATGATGGAGGCGGAGGTGTTCAACTTTTTCACCGTTTGCCTTTGGACCTCCAAGCGCCTCTTTGGGCAATACAAGTCACCGAAGAGGTCCCATACGACGAGGATTTGCTCGAAGTCGCACGATACTACATCTCACTGCTGGATGCCGATCAAGAATTGTCCTTTCACCAAGCGCCATGGCGCATCGCTGGCTTCTCCGCCTCTTCAGCAATCGCGCTCTGCATGGCCCGAATTTTGGAAGCACGAGGCTCACCTCTGGGACAACTCGCTTTGATCGATAATTCGCCGACGCTGCTTGCGTGTCCTCATCTCGTCATGTCGACAACGCAGGCAAGCATGAAACGAGAGGAACATGTTGTTCGTGCCCTCGAAACCGTGGCGAGGTGCAGCGAGCTCGACCCCGGTGCGGACGGCAGCGGCAAAAAGTTTGCCTCTGCCCTCTGGACGCTAGCAGCGCGCCGTCGACAACAGTGGACATCTCCTGCGACGACGCCGACCTCGCAAACCCCTTCCGTTGCCCCTGCCAGCGTGAACATCGATCTAAAGGATGACGCGTTTCTAAACACCTTTTGCCAGCGACTCGCTCAAAGTTCGGAAATGGTGTACAAGGCCGCGGCGCGCTTTGCTACAAATAGGGATGCCTCCCCAGCCCTTCATCAAGCAGTCGACGACAAGCCGATCGACTTTGCCCCCTTGTTCAAGTGGCTGGGCCAGATCAGTACACCGGTCGTGCTGTTTGTGGCGGAAAGAGGTCTGCTTCGAGGCCAGGGACCAACATTTGACCCGTTCGAGCAGGAGTATGCAGACTTTGGCATCAGCAAGCATCTCGGCCTCTCTCCACACATCGTCTACATAGAAGGCACGGGCCACTACGACATTCTCTCCTCTTCAAAGCTTGCGCTGGAGCTCTCGAACGGTGCCATCGCTCCGGGCGCATAGCAGTTGTGCCCAGATATCTGCAGCCCCGTTTTGCTTTGATGTATTATCGTGTATTCGCTAATCGCCCTGACAGCTGTGCAGCATGTATTTTCGAGACCGCACTGGCCCAAGTTTTTTGATCCGACTCGCATATATACCTTTCCCGCTTGCCAATGCATGAGATGCTACATGGCTTGCTGATGATTCGGGCTCGGAACGCCGCGCGCTTTTGCGGCATAAAGACGCGCGCGCCTCCAACAACAGATATCGACAGGCAGGCACTGCACCACAAGAGCTAGACGGTATTTGGCAGATAGAATGCGGTGTTCACATGGGGAGATATGACTGCACATCAGTGACGGAGCGGTCAGGGACGCAGAGCGCAGTAATCGAGAAGCTAAGCAAGTGTTGAAACATGTGGCTGTTTGTTTGTGTCAATTCAAGAGAGCGAATAGCAATCGATTGAGAGGGTGTTGGATATTAGTGCGCATCGATGACAGAACTTGACAGGCACATAATGATCAAACAGATGAGAGCAATGAGGAGGGAGGATGCCAGGTGCAAGGGCTGCACCAAGAGGAGGTAAACGTGCTGTGCGCACATCAAAATGTACAACAAGTGAGCAACAAGCAGTGAGTAGGGCAGTGTGTAAACAGGAGGGTGCATGTAAGTGAGGGAGTTGTGAGGTGTGCACACAGCAATGAGCAGGGGCCTGCTGGGCTGCAAGCAATTTGCGAGCGCAAAGATAGAGCTTGGCAGGCATACATTGCAGTCAGTGGTTGAGAGAGCTGTAAAGTCATGGAGCAAAAGAGAGTTGCAAGAATGGTAGTGCAAGTAGGCAAGGCTGCAGAACAGTCAAAGCATGCAGAGCATGTGTAGCAGGTGTGGAGCTCAAGGCAGTGGGCAAGAGTCTAGAACAGTCAAGCAACAAGGATTGGTGACAGCAAAGTGTTTGCATGATAGTTAGGGACAGTAGGTGAAAGAGTTTGAGACAAGGATAGAGGAGTCAAAGAGTCAGTAAGTAAGAGGGTCTTGCACAATGGATTGGGCGAGGAAAAGTCAGTAAATGAGAGAGATTTGAGGACTTGAGAGTCAGTAAATCAGAGAGTGGGTAAGCAAGCTGAGGGGATCAAGTTGGTAAATGAGAGTGTGTTAGTGCAAGCAAATAAGAGAGGCAGGTGAAGAAGGAAGAGATCAGGTGACGTTAGTGCGTGTTAATGAGAGAGTGTGACAGAGAAGCAAGAAGGAAGTGAGAGAATGTTAGTGCGTGTTGATGAGAGAGCTGTGAGGGTTAAGGGTCAGTCAGTGAATGAGGGGCATATTAGTGCGTGTTAATGAGAGAGCTGTGAGGGTTAGGGTCAGTCAGTGAATGAGGGAGCAGTGGAGAACAAGGTGAGGAAGTAAGAAGAGAGGACTACTGGTATAAGTCAAGGATTTTACGCCGTAAACTAGGCCGCACTCTGCCAAAAAGACACGTGCCGGAGGTCCGCGGAGCAGATTTTGAAGATTTTACGCCGTAAAAGTGCGCAGACAGATTTCTGCCATACGCGCCACACGCGCCCCATATATGCGCTCTTGGCCAGTAGCGTGCGTGCTCCAGGCAGAGGCGCGCGCGCGCGCACACACCACGCATGCTCCAGTAGGCGCGTGCGCGCACACACCACGCGTAATTTATCCGCTGCATCTGTGGTCTGCGCGCAGCGCGCGCGCCTGCTCGCAGAGCCCGCGCCTGCGCGCACGGGTTTTGGCTGTGAGATCAAATTTGATCGCACACCCAAGCACGCACGCACGCAGCGCTTGACTGTGAGATCACATTCAATTGGTGCGCGTGCACAGCTGCTCATTGTCCCTGGCACCGACACTTTGATATGCTGGTGTACGGCAAGCATGCCACCAAATGAGATACTAATTACACTGTCAGAAAGCTGTGATAGGGGCATTTTGTGTGGTGCAATTTGCTTGCTCAGATGGTGCCTCAGCGAGCACAGAACACGCGCACAATCCAAGAGTGATGTGCGTCAACTTCTCACCAAACAGGTGCGCTGGCACCAACACTTTGAGGGCTTACTGTGAAGGCTCTTGTTCACCAATTGTCTTGTTCAGACGTTCACTGGGTACCTTTGATAGGGGCATTTGCCATAGTCATGATGGTAGTGCCAGAACAAGGGCCTGCAAGCGGTGACAAGCGCTGAAAGATTGGCATGTGCAAGGACAACAAGCGCGTCTGCCTTGTGCCAGCGTGGCTGCACCACTGTATGCGCGCTCATTGTGTCAGCAATGACGCGTACCGCTCACAGCCCCTCATTGTCCCTGGCACCGACACTTTGACCTGCTGGTGTACGGTGAGCATACTGCCAAATGAGCTACAAATGGCATTGTCAGGAAGGTGTAGTAGGGGCATTTGATGTAGTCAAATTAGATCTGCCAGAACAAGGACCTGCAAGCGGTGACAAGACCTCCAAGACGGGCCTGTGCAAGGACAATGAGCATGTTGGTGCTGGCGTGCGCGTGTGGCTGCACCACTGTACACGCCAAGTCTTCTCATCTTTCACTACAGACAAGGCTTGTAGCACGTAGCAGATGATCTTCTTTGTGAAAGTGACACTTGTTTCACGAAGCACAACAGCTACACTTGGCTACCTGTGCGTCAACAAGGCAAGTACCGCCCATGACAAGTGCACGACTTGCTCTGTAGCACACTCATAAGCTATAAAGATGGGGCTCTGGATGCTCTCAAGTCCATCTTCCCTCGTCAATCACTCACTCAAACACTCACTACTCAGCGCACAACACCATCTCTCCTGCCTACCCCCATCTTTTCCTTGACAAACTTCAACATGTCTACCATTGCAATTGCAACCACCATGCAGCATGCTCAAGCGCTTGCTCTCCAATACCCATATCTCTCTCAGTGGCAGGTTGTTGTTTGCCTGCACTGCGCAAGCTGTGTGCGTCCAGGTAAGGATGCCATCACTCGACACCTGTACAAGCACAGTGTGACTGGGCCAGAATTGACAGTGCTTGTCAATCTGTTGGATGATTACGAGGTGCTTGGACCTCAAGCGCCACGCACAGAGTGGCCCACAGCCCTCATCAAGGAGCTAGCTGTCCATGAGGGCTACCAGTGCACTTTTGGATGCACAGATGCCTTTAGGACACTCAACAAGGTCAAGCAGCACTTAGCTCATGTGCACACATCAGAGTCAGCCAGATCAGCTGACGCACCACTTTGGAGACGGTGCACGGTGCAAACCTTTTATTCTGACAATCAGGCAGTGCGCTACTTTTTAGTAGCGCTGCCTCCCACGCCTGGTCCCACTCAGTCACAGTCACAAGATGTCCCTCTGGCTGAGGAGGCCTTCTTTGCTGCACTCCAAGCAGACAAGCAGCAGGCTGAGCATGATGCTCAGGAGCATGCCCAGCGCATCCATGGCTTTGGTGCGCATCACTCTGGTGCGGTGCCATGCCTACAGAACACTGGCATCGAGAAGCATGTGCGTGGACTACACAAGCAAGAGATCCAGGCTTCCTTTGCGCTTCCCACAAGCAAGGCAGAATCGCAGCTGGAGCGCATCCTGGCTGCCCTAGAGTGGGTGCTGCGTGACACGCACACACAGTGCATCAGCAAGTGGTCTTCCAAACTGACTTGGCAGCGCAAGCTGGCACTCAGCCACTTCCGCACGGTGGAAGTTGCTGGCACTGTTCACCGTGCTTGGGATCCTGTCAAGATGCCTGACACGCTCACAGACTACATCAGACACTGGAAGCAGCTCATTACGTACTACTTCCGCATTGCGCATGAGGAGAAGGCGCACTTCAGCGCTGGCAGTGGAGACCACACCACGCCAGATGATCTGGTCCAGCCCACAGATGAGCAGCGCTTTACGTGGGATCTGGTCTTGGAAGAGAGCAAGAACACACCCATTGCATCCTTTCTCACAGACGCAGTGCACTCTTTCTGCGTGACGCTCATCCAGCATCACACTGGCACACGCCCCTTTGCCTCTCCACTCCTCAGTTTTGTGGCCATGCACGCCATTGAAGTCAAGACTGGGGCATGGAAGTCAGCAGGCGTCTTCAGCAGCTTCCTCTCTGGGCTGATCTGGGTGGCGCAGCTCATGATTTTCCGGGAAGCAATCTCTGGGGATGCAGAAGACGAGAAGGTCCTGGAGACCATCAATGCCAACATACGGGCATACATGCAGCCAGACAAGGAGACAGTGTTTGGCGAGGTGCTTCACTGGCGCTCACTCTGCTTTGAGGTTGCGCGGCATGAGATTGGACCGCAGCAAGCCTACTGGGATGAAGACAAGCAGGGCGTCACATACAAGAGCATCCACCTCAAGCTCACAGATGTAGAGCTTATATTTCAGCATCAGATGGCTCGAGCAAGACAGCTGCTTTCTGCAGATCTGCTGTTTGGCAGCAATGGTCCTGCGCAGGTGCAGGTATCTATGCTGAAGGACAGCCTGGACCGGCGTTAGGGTTAGGGTTACAAGGGTGGGCCGTTTTAGGGTTGGAGAATGTTTGATAGCCAGTTTGTAGAGCACATTGAGGAGTGTCTTGTGGCAGAAAAGTTTTGGATTTGCGATAGCCATTTTTGCGTGAGGAGGCGCAAAGCGTAAGTGCGGGGTGATTTTGGCTGGTGGCGCCTCTCAAATTTGGGAATCTATGTGACCCTTAGGGTTAGGGTTAGGGTTAGGGTTAGGGTTACAAGGGGGTCCCACGAAAGTCTGTTTTGAGTTAGA